TCGCGAGGGCCTCCGCCAAGCTGGCTTGGAAAGCCTTTAGCACGGCCAGGTGGATCCAACGTTTAAGAGAAAACGAGTAGGCTAAATGTGTAAGCATCATCAGTGCAGCGCTTGGTATGTACCTGCGTCCGTCTCCATACGATGTACTAACACAGGCCGATAATACGGTTGATGTGGTACTTGTGCTACATCATCGTTGCAGTTGGTCTGTACATGTGTCCGAGTGTTTATTTTCCTGTATTTCGGGGGTTAATTGTTGATTGGTATCCCCGATGTGGCTGCGCTTGATGTGAATATTGACAAGGTGCGTACTTGTCTAACAGCCTCCAGCTCGTCTTATAGGGACTCCGGGAGACTGTGAAAGGTTAATGGGGTGCGGTGTGAGGTGCACCATCCTCGGGACAAGGTTAGTCTCGAAGAGTGGTTTCATCCAGTGTGGATCAGGCTACGGCTCAGCCACCGCCTTGTGCACGTCTGGTACGCATGATTCCCCACATAGATAGACATGAATGCTGCTGCTGTGCATGTTGAAGGAGTGTGGGCCGGCTCCGTTGATGCAATGTGGCTGCCATCCATATGACTGCCGGTTTTGTTCTTTCGAATTTATACTGCCTACGGGGTGTGTGGATGGAGCTGTGGGTGGTGCATCGCAATCTACCCATGGTTCCAGTTGTCGTATATAAATAAATAAATAAATAACTAGGTACGACGGACGCTAGAACGGCACATGAATGAAAAGTGCAATAGTATTTGGTGGTTATTTGGTAATTTGTTGTTGCTGATTCGGAGTTGTGATAGAAGCGCTGATTGTTGAGTACTGGTTATCCAACTGCGGCTTTGTAGCCTTGATTTCTTTGGAACCGTGTTAGCTCCAGGCTTCCAAGCGCTTGACGCTTATAGTATTCACCATTCATTCGATTTGTGTGATGAATAATATGTAGTACGCAGCAATTAGTTCTGGAGTCCAAGTACTCCACAACGTTTCCTGGCTTTGGAGGAGAGGTGCAAAGTCGGGATTCAAGGCTTAACAACTTTCGTTTTTAAGTGTCCACATTGTGTCATGCATCGCACGAAAAATCGATCCGACCATCTGTGTGAAGTGAACAATCCCGGCAAGTAGCTGACAAGTGATTAGCAAAATGATGGTGATGCTTCAGGCCTCGGTTCGCATGCTAGCCATGAGGGTGAGTATAGCAGTAGCTCCGTTGTTCATTCGCCGAGTTTAACGTATTTGGGTTCATGAAAATCAGTGGTGTTGCATGTATTAGTTAAATTAAGTGCAACATTTCTTTGCTAATAAAAAATTAGGTTTCTTACTCTAGGTCCGTGTTACGCCTGAGTGAAATCAGAGGTGAATACGGAGTATTGGAATTATGTCGTTAGACCAACTAGTCATACATGTGTACAATCGTTTGGTGGATAATCAAAGAGCAGTATGAAGTATGTCTTGATTAGGTAGCAAGGACTAATGAGCGAAGTGAAGGTAAGGAACGAACTACACACGTATCGATTCATACACAAACACACATGCGCACGCACGCACTGCGTGGTCGGCCAAAGTAACATATGACGGATCACTCATTTTCCCTATGGTTCCAACTATCTAGGCTGAAAGCGCTCGAACGGTCGGCATCGAGGTTTGACCTACCTAGCTAAGCTTCAGCCTCCGGCATGGAGTCACTCGCACGGGGGTCACAGGGCACTAGAGGTGGGGTGTTCGGTTCACATATTGACTCGGAATTTGATGGCCTTGGACGCAGGTGATCTAGGTGAAGTCTCACTACTTTGCCGTCCTCAGCCATCGCCTCTATGAACTGTATACACAACAACTGGCTGTCATCTGGGTTCTGTAGGCAAACGCCAAGTATATTTGGTCTAACTGTGCTACGAGCCTGTCTTTACTGCGAGCATCAAAATGTTCTTTCACTCGTTCTTATTTATCGAGGAATTCAGATCCTGGAGTACTTTGCAATAAGTCTAGTCGCGTACGCAAACGACAGCCAGAAATTAGCTGCGCGAGACTTCTTACGGTGGTATCGTTCACCAGATTTCAGTAAACAAAGAGAGCACGATCCAGATGCACACACAGTGGCGTACTCGTTTGCTTAAGCAGCATCTTTTTCAGTTTGTACGGCCTTTTCAACCAAACCGTTTGAAGATGGATGGTAAGAAGCAGTCGTTATGTTGTAGCGAACGAGCTATCACTACAAAAATAGTTATACTCCGAACGCAGGCGGTTTAGACAAAAACAGTCATGGACCTACGGTAGGCTTCCGACTTCGAATGATTCACAATCTAGTGGTAAGATCCGGCGTATAGCGTAGTGTGAGCAGTGCGATAGTTCCTAGCCGTTTTAGTGAAGAGCACTGCGCCGAGAAAACACAAGGAGGACGCACACAACAAACCGGAGTGATAACGCAAACGCGATTCGAAGGGAGATGTATTGATCGAGTCAATTAAAACAGACTGTGCAATAAATGCTGCGAATAGGAATAAGAGAGCACATATGTAAAAAGGCATTTTACAAGCGCTACAATGTGCATACTTCCAATTGAAGCAAGGAAGGTGGAAAATTCGACCCCGGTAAGCGCAGATCCGCTGACCGAAACACGTGTGTCGGCGAGTCCAAAGGTAAATAATGTAGTGCTCAGTTTGATTATTGTACTGGCAGATATCGTCGTGGCCAAAATCTAGGCGTCAATCCACTTAGTATGAGCGTCAATGAGTAACAAGATCAGCTGGCCTCCAAATGGACCGAAAAAGTCTATGTGGACAAGTTTCCAGGGTGTTGTGGCTATTTGTAAGGCTGCATTTGTGCCTGAAAGGCAGCCTTTCGATATTCCTGGCAGAGCATGCAATGCCTAACTTTTGCTGCAATATAACCATACAAGTTGGGCCACTATACATAGAAACGAGCAAGTGCTTTCATTTTAGAAATTTCTGGGTACTCATTGTGAAGTTCTTCCAGGATGGTTGATCGCAATCTTTTAGGGACAACGGTGCGCGCAACCTACAGTAAGCATCCGTTTTGGAGACGGAGTTCAGTCTTCCTGTTGCGAAAACGTATAAGTTCTACAGGATATGTTCGGGTCATTCAACCTGTGCTACAAACGGATCTCTGTCGATCTCCTGATATAGAGCTGTGGACGTGACGGCAGTCTTGTTGAACACCCGAGTTAGATTGGCAAAAGCTTGCGTAGTAAATTCCTTCAAATACACATCCGGTATGGGAAGTCGACTAGGAATATCGGTGGCAATATCCTGTCGACCAAAGATATACTGAATTCGGTATGCCTAAACGGATATGATGAGGGACCAGCGGGTCATTCTGGGTGAGGCCATTTGCTGAATTCCTTTTTTGTGTCATAGGAGCGAGATAAGGGGCTTGTGGCCTGTGTGAATCACGAAATTCTGGCCGAGCAAGTATTGGTGGAATCGGTTCATACCGATCGAGCTGAGAGTAGTACATTGCAGCTGCAGTTAAGGTTCATGAAATGTAAACAACTGGTCTCTGCGTATCATCAGGTAGTTTGTGTAGCAAAACAGCCCCAAGGCCGTAAGAAGAGGCATCACATGAGAGGAAAATTGGTTTTTGTGGATCATAATGTATAAGTACATCAGTGGATGCCAAGAGTTTCTTTATCACATTGAAAGCATTCTCGCTGACCTGCTTTCCGTTTCCACGGTCGATTCCAGTATGAAAATGATAAAGAGGATGCAAGTGAGTTGATGCTGATAGTAGAAACAGAAAGAACTGAGTGACCGCTCTTAGAAAGATCGTAGTTCGCTCCCAATTTTGGGAGCTGGGGCTTTAAGCACCGCCCCTATTTTTCTTTCTGACGGACACAACACATCGCTTGATAGTTTGTAATCAAGTTATTGCACACTTGATACAAGAAATACACACCACTTTTTCAGTATCAACCCAGAGTCATATAATCTTTTAAGAACAACGTCCAAAGTGTGCAGATATTCAGCAGTGGTTCGCCCTATAATTAGGATATCATCCAGGTAGACACATGTAATTGGTTTGTTTTCACCAGTGAGTCAATAATCCATTGAAATATAGCTGGTTCAGAGCTTATTCCGAACGGTATAGGTGTGTAGCAGTATAACCCAATAGGAGTGCTTATGGTTGTGTAAGCCCGCGATTTGTCATCAAGTTCAATTTGTTGGTACGCATGGCTCAGGTCGAATTTTGTGAAACAGTGACGCGGGAATCCGTCAAACCGTAGTGCCTGACTGAGCGTAACTTTGCAGTCGCCACGGATACGTGTAGTCCCGTATTGTTTTAACACGGGCATAATATGTGCTGCCCAGTCCGAGTAGTGAACGGATCCAATCGTACCTTCTTTCTGCAGCCACCGTAGTTCGCTTCGAGTTTGTCCCGAAGAGTATAAGGCACAGGGCGCGTCTTCCAAAATTTTGACGTTCGCTTTGGTTTAAGTATCAGATG